GAAGAAGTAAAAAAAGAAATTAAAGACTTCCTAAAATTCAATGAAAATGACCACACAACATACCCAAATTTATGGGACACAATGAAAGCAGTGTTAAAAAGAAAGTTCATAACACTAAATGCCTACATAAAGATGTTGGAAAAATCTCACACTAGTGAATTAACAGAGCATTTGAGAAATCTAGAACAAAAAGAAGCAAACTCACCCAAAATAACTAGACGGCAGGAAAAAAATCAAATTGAGAGCTGAAATAAACAAAATAGAAACAAAGAAAACAATATAAAGAATCACTGAGACAAAGAGTTGGTTCTTCGAGAAAAATCAACAAAATAGATAAACCTTTATCCAAAATAACCAAAAGGCAGGAAGAGAATATTTAAATTAACAAAATCAAAAAATGAAAAGGGGACATAACAACAGACACAGAGGAAATTCAGAGAATCATTAGGTCATATTTCAAAACGTGTATTCCACAAAATTGGAAAACATAAAGGAAATGGCCAACTTTCTGGATAAATATCACTTATCAAAATTAAATAAATACCAGATAAGCAAATTAAGCAGACCTATAACTGCTGAAAAAAATAGAAATAGTCATCAATAGTCTCCCAACCAAAAAAAAACCCAGGTTTCAGCTCAGAATTCTACAAGATTTTCAAAGAACTAATACCAATACTCCTCAAACTGTTCCACACAATAGAAACAGAAGGAACATTGCCAAACTCTTTTTTTTTATGAGACTACTATTACCCTGATGACCAAAACACATAAAGACATCACTAAAAAAGAGAATTACAGAAAATCTCACTCATGAACATTTATGCAAAAATACACAATAAAATACTGACAAATTGAATTCAAGAACACATCAGAAAAATCATCCACCATGATCAAGTTGGTTTCATCCCAGACATGTCGGGATGGTTCAACATATGAAAATCTGTCAATGAATCCACCATATAAGCAAACTGAAAAATGAAAACCACAATTATCGCATTAAATGCTAAAAAGGCCTTCAACAATATACAACATCCCTTCATGATGAAGGGCTTGGAGAGGGCAGGGATACAAGGAACATACTTAAACATAATAAAGGCAATAAACAGCAAGCCAACATCCAACATCAAACTAAATGGAGAGAAACTCACAAAAACCCTACTAAAATCAGAAACATGACAAGGTTGTCCACTCTCTCCATATCTATTCAAGTTCTTGAAGTCCTAGCAAGAGCAATTAGACAACAAAAGGAGATCAATGGGATACAAATCAGAAAAGAAGAAGTCAAACTCTCACTATTTGCTGATGGTAGTTTACATAAGCGAACCCAAAAATCATAAACTCTTTCTGTAATGTAGAAGAATACAGTCTCAATTGTGACACAAGGACATGTGCTCAACTATGTTCATAGCAGCATTATTTGTCATAGCCAGAATCTGGAAACAACCTAAATGCTCCTTGACTGAAGAATGGATGAGGAATATGTGGTACATTTACACAATGGAGTACTACACAGCAGAAAAAAAAATTACGACATCTTGAAATTTGCAGGCAAATGGATGAAGCTAGAAAATATCATTTGCATGAGGTAACCCAAACTCAGAAAGACGATTATTATATGTACTCACTCCTAAGTGGTTTGTAAGCATAAAGTAAAGAAAACCAGCCTACAATTCACAATCCCAGAGAACCTAAACAACAATGAAGACCCTAAGAGAGACATATATGGATCTAATCTACATGGGAAGTATAAAAAGATAAGATCTCCTGAATAATTTGGAAGCATGGGGACCATGGGAAAGGGTTGAAGGAGAGGTGAGAGGCAAGGAGGGGACCAGAGAAAAATGTAGAGCTCAATAAAAATCAGTAGCCCTCTTTTACACAGATGATAAATGGGCTGAGAAAGAAATCAGAGAAACATCACCCTTCACAATAGCCACAAATAGCATAAAATAGTTCAGAGTACTCTAACCAAACAAATGGAAGACCTGTATGACAAGAACTTTAAATTTTTGAAGAAAGAAATTGAAGACACCAGAAAATGGAACGATCTTTTCATGCTCTTAGGTAGGTAGAGGTAACATAGTAAAAATGGCAATCTTACCAAAAGCCATCTACAGATTCAATACAATGCCCATCAAAAATTCCAGCAAAATTCTTCCAGACCTCAAAAGAACAGACTAAACTACATATGGAAAAAAAAAACCCCTAGGATAACCAAAACCATCCTGTACAATAAAAGAACTTCTGGAGGGATCACAATCCCTGACTTAAAACTCTACTATAGAGCCACAGTACTGAAAACAGCCTGGTATTGGAATAAAAACAGACAGAAGGGCCAATGGAACTGAACTAAAGACCCAGACATTAATCCACACACCTACAAACACCTGATTTTTAACAAAGAACCAAAAAATATAAAGTAGAAAAAAAAGAAAGCATATTCAACAAGTGGTGCTGGCATAATTGGAAATCAATATGTAGAAGAATGAAAATAGATCCATATCTATCACCATGCACTAAACTCAAATCCAAATGGACCAAAGACCTCAACATAAAGCCAGCCACACTGAACTTCATAGAAGAGAAAGTGGAAAATACACTTGAATGCATTGGCACAAGAGATCACTTCCTAAGTATAACCCCAGTAGCACAGACACTGAGAGAAACAATTAAATGGGACCTCCAGAAACTGAAAAACCTCTGTAAAGCCAAGGACATGGTCAACAAGACAAAATGATAGCCTACATAATGGGAAAAGATCTTCACTAACCCCACATCAGACAGAGGACTGATCTCCAAAACATACAAAGAACTCAAGAAATTGGTCATCAAAAGAACAAATAATCCAATTTTTAAAAATGGAGTACAGACCTAAACAGAAAACTCTCAACTGAGGAATCTAAAATGGCTGAAAGACATTTAAGGAAATGTTCAACATCCTTAGTCATCAGAGAAATGAAAATCAAAACAACTCTGAGATTCCATCTTGAACCTGTAAGAATGGCCACGATCAAAAACACCGATGACAACTTATGCTGGAGAGGATGTGGGATAAAGGGAATAATACTCCTGCATTGCTGGTGGGAGTGCAAGCTGGTTCAGTCCCTTTGGATGTCAGTGTGGTGATTTCTCAGAAAATTAGGAATCAACTTTCCTCAGAATCCAGCAATACCACTTTTAGGTGTATATTGAAAAAAATGCTCAATCGTGCCCCAATGACATGTGCTCAACTATGTTCATAGCAGCATTGTTTATCATAGCCAAAACTTGGAAACAACTAAACGCCCCTCGACCAAAGAATGAATAAGGAAAATGTGGAGTATACTACACAGCAGAAAAAAATAATGTCATCTTGAAATTTGTAGGCAAATGGATTGATCTAGAAAACATTATATAGAGTGAGGTAACCCAGACACAGAAAGACAATTATCACATGTACTCACTCATAAGTGGCTTTTAGACATAAAGCAAAGAAAAGCATACAAATCACAATCCCAGAGAACCTAGACAACAATGAGAACCCGAAGAGCGACATACATGGATCTAATCTACATTAGAAGTAGAAAAAGACAAGATCTCCTGAGTAAACTGGGAGCATGGGAGAGGGCTGAAGAGGAGGCGGGGCGAAGGAAAGGGAACCGAGAAAAGTGTATAGCTCAATAAATAAATAAAAAAGGAAAAAATGGAAAAAAAGAACCAGTGTTTGTCACTGTTGTCATCACTTTATCATCAACAGATGCCTGCTGCTTACGTTCCCTGAGCCTCCAGAATTCTTTACATTGTGTCACCGTCTTCATGGAAACTCAGTGAACATGAGAGTCTGAAATGCTGAGGCTGTAGAAAGCACAGAACTTCAGATAGAGGAAGACGTCATTGGCATTTCCTAAGCAAAAGTAAAGTGTAAGAGTTCTCTGGCCTACACACAGCAAACTGTTCTGCCCCTAAGACACGAGTGATACTTTGAGCCTAGGACACTCAAGACACAAAAATCTGTCAAATATAAACATAGGGCACCCTGATCAGACTTTGCTTTGAAACAGGGTTTTGCTCAAATGCACAGTCATCCCACACCTTTAGTTCACCAGGCCTCAATTTTCTCAGTTGTGGAATGGGCAGAACAATAGCCAAGTGGTCATCCAATGCCATCCAGGCAATGCTTTTTGGATGTGGGAAGGTGTAAGGAGGCTGGCTATTTTCTGAAGTGCTTTATGTGGAAGGACTGTAGTAAGGCCCCCGTGTAATGAACGCAGCGCAACCCTCCTTTTCATGGCTTCTTTGTCTTTGATTGTGGCCCAAGCCATACATTTCTTCTCCGCTCATCAGTCATTTTTACTACATCTTGAAGACAGGGAGGAACATGTTGGAATGCATAGAAGCTGGACTAAGGCTCAAGCCTCATGCTCGCTTTTGATTTACCACATCCGAGGAAGCAATTACAAACCCCACATAGTTTTCTTCTTTGCCCAGCAATTTCACAGATGTTAAGGACCATAGCTTTTCTGCTTCCTCGGGCTATTGCATATGATGTAGTCAGTGCTGCAGGGGCTCCTTTTCCTGGACTGAAACACATCCCAACATATAGCTCCCTTCCCACAAAACGATGATAGGAAAGAACTGGGGACTAAACTTCTTCCCATCGAATTCCTGGCCACTCAGCTCTACCCCACATGTCCAATCAAATCACGCACTGCTAAATTTACAGATCCTAGAATGAGAGCCAATCTTGTTCAACTGACCCCACAGTGAGATGTGTGTTCAAAGCGCTAATGATGATGAGTTGGGCTTGGGAAGCTGGGGATACCCAGATCATTTAAGATTCAGTGAGGCTGGCTATCTTGGAGTGTGTCTGTAGATTTTCAGAATCCCAGTCTCCCAAAGCTTTTGTCAAAATCATCAAGAGACTTCATGTCACGCTTCCAACAACATAGAATGGATATTAGAGCGAGGGAAAGAGAAGGCAGGCAAACCAGCCACCAGGAGTGCCTTCCTTCCGTACCCACCTTGTGATTCCGCCCGTGCTTGTCCAGGAGGGAGATGATGGACTTGATGTGACCCTCTGCTATCAGGTTTAAGGCTTCTGGGCTTTCAATCAAGATGCAGTGCAAGACCTCCAAGATACCTGCATAAACGCCATGACAATCATTTGGCCATTCAGCAAGCTGCAGAACTAGCCAAATTTAGAAATCAGAGGTAAAAGGAGCTTCCTAAGGGGCTAGAGTGCCATAGTTTGTTGACTTTACTAAACCTTCCCAGCCAGAAGAGAGATGTAGGCATCTTCAGTAGATTCCAGGGGTCCCAAAGCTGTATAGCCTGTAGCTTAGAGGTGATTTTAATTCAACACTAACTTAACCCTCCCTTTCCTAGTAACATGATCTTTGTCAAATACATGAAAGCAGTTGTAAAGTGGGATTCTTAAACTGATCAAACCAGACAATACTTCATTTAAATACATACATATGTACATCTATCTATCTATCTATCTATCTATCTATCTATCTATCTATCATCTATCTATCTATACATATAAGCAGTTGCCCAATTTACCTATGGATTACAAGGATCATTCAAGAGATTTAGAACTATTCTGACTTTATCCTCAGAATAAGTGCTTTTCTAAGAACAGAAATTAGGGGTTATTTTTGATGTCCTAATGTAGCTAATAAAGTATTTGATGTGGGATTCCCCTCTGTATGGTGTGAATATGTTTTGTTATCATTGGTTAATGAATAAAGCTATTTTGGCCAATGACTCAGGCATATTTCTAGATAGCTCTTCCATCTTGAATTAACCCATCTGTACTAATCTATGTATTGGCACAAGGCTGTGGTAAAGATCTGGCGTCTGTCTCCTTCGGCGGTTACATGGTGTCTCCTTGACTCCACCTACTTTTTCTCTATATCTCTGTTCCGATTTTCCACAGGGCTTTGCTCTGTTAAGCCATTGGCCAAAACAGCTTTATTCATTAACCAATGGTCATAAAACATATTCACACCATACAGAGGGGAATCCCACATGATCTCTGAGCTTGAGAAACACACAGTTTTCATTGGCACAGTGGATGGGTTTCTATGCACAGTTTGAGGCCCTAAGGTAAACAAATATTCCTGAACATACAAGGTTCACATCCTGACAAGAATCCACGGGAAGTGTTTGGCCAAGAGCGTCACTGGTTTTATTTTTAAAAATCCCTTAATTTGGTTTTATTCAATCAAGGTGTTCTTAATGTGTCCTGAAATATAATTTCACTAACAAAGGAAGACACCAGAGACAAGAGAAGCTTACAATGATGTGAGCAGGAAAGCGGTCCCTGGGGACTATTCCTGGGCTGGTTTCCTCAAACACCTGCCTGCTCTGGACTAAAAAAGCACCAAAACATTGCAGTTTACCATAGGATGCACTCATCTCTGAAGCGAACTGCTAGGCTTTGTGAGTGGTTACTTCCCAATGATGACCATGGTGCTCACTTCTCTAAAAGTCATCAGGAAGGGCCATAGATGTGATACAAAAGGCCACTGGGGGTAGGTGGGTGAGGATTATTTACTCTGAAGTTAAAGATGATCCTTTAATTCTGCTAAACTGACGTGCAAAGGGGGAATTCATTCTAAGTACCCAGAGAATAAGGGAGCAGGAGGAGGCCAGCACCACTGGGTGGGAGTGTGCGAGGGACCATGGAGTAGAGGCAAAAGCACAGAATGAATCCTCAGCCACAGAGGAAGGATTAAAGAAGTCCGAGGTAGAGTCTGTTAAATAAAGGCAGAGTCCTGTCAGGAATCATTTGGAAGTTGTTTATTTTCTTGTTGTTGAATTGAGGATTAGTGGCCACCAAATGGAAATGAGTCAACTCTGTTTTCATTTCTACAAAAGGGGAATAAAATTGTCTTCCACGGTTAAACTTCATTGTTGCTGTTCTTAATTCTTACCTGAGGAAGATTCTAGTCTGTCCAGTTTACTAATTAACCAATCAAGGTTATTGGAGAATTGGGCACAGTTGTTTCTGTTTCCACGGATGAGAGCAGCTGAAACCGAGGGAAAAATTGATCATGTAGGTTAAAGGTGCACAGTAATGGCGTGAACTTGAAAGCTGTTGAGTGATTCACAAGCTTAGCTCCGAGAGTCCTGAACGGCCATCTCACTTTGTCTAGCCCTTTGATACCTCCCCATTCCTACACCTAGGGCAATTAAAATTCTCTCACTTACTCCCTCTCTCGCACGCACTTCTGCTGTGTACTCTGGCTACATACCTTGGCTTACACACTTGGCTACCACAGCTGACAACTTCTGTCTAGCTCTAATTTGGAAAGTACAACAAGCTACTGGTTCACAGTGCTTAACCAGGCTAGAAGAGAATCTTCAACAAATGGCCTCCAAGGAATTCTAAGTTTCACGTCAACAACCCATATGATTTTAGCCATGCGCATCTTCCCCGGGAGGAGGCGCTGCGTGTGTACTCACCTAGCAACTTGTACAACAGGTTTAGAATTTCTTTCCAGGCCATGCCACTCTCTTCCCTTGCGATCCCTGCAAAGTGTGCTACGCTATTGTAGATATTTAAGCGATCAATGCAATTCAATACCAGGGCCAACATTCCCTGAGGAGAGTTGAGGAAGAGATGAGCATTCTTGACAAAAAAGGCACGGTGGACCCCTAAGTTCATCCCCCCACCCCCACCCCATATCCTTCACCTCCTAAAACAGACAGTACTTATATGGCCACAGATTTTCATTAAGCCAGCGGAGTTTTTTCTTCTAAAAAACAAAATACACATTTTCTTTTAATGCCTCGTAGACCTAAATAACATCCATTTGTGGGGTGAGTCAGCAGTCTCTCGTGACGGGTTTGTCCCCATGTGCTGTGTTTAACTCAATCCAAGGGCACAGCAAGGAAGACAGGGTGTGAATGAGACACGCACAAACTTCCCTTCCGTCTGATGAGACACGAGTCTGACTCAGTCAGACGGAACTGCTCTGGGTAAAGCTCCCACTTCCTTCCTAAACCTCGAATTTAAGAAATCTCATTCATGTTATGGTTTCTGATTTTGTGTTTTTATGGAACTTTGGTGTGTATGAGTCTGTTTGTTTCTGCATCTGTGTTTCTTGTATCCTTTCTTTTAAAGCAGTGTCTATCTTTTTTCTCTTTATTTTGTCCTATTCTTTTTTATGTTTTATTTTTTTTTTAGTGATTTTTTTTTGTTCTCTAATTAGAGTGGGAAAGAAAGGGTGTGGATTTAGGTGGGGGTGTGTGGGAAACATCTGGAGGAGTTTGGGGAGGGTTAACTATGATCAGACTGTCTTGTATGAAAAAAATCTATCTTTAATAAAAAGAGAAATTCATTCATGCAAATCATACCAATAAGACCACCACATTCACTTTCCTTACCCCTAGGTGGGGTTTAGAGAAAACAAACCTAAAGAGCATCTTCAACCCCTTTTCCAGCATTCTTACAAGATGATGGCATCCCATGCGAACATGTGTACCTAGTTATTACTAATATAGAGGGAGGAGATGGTGAATGTCCTCTCAATAGTCTATGGCACACGCAGAAGGCCTCCAAGTCCTACCCTGCTAAGATCTACAGACTAGACAGTGACTGTTGTAATCCCACATCAATAACTTGAGATGAATCTGCAGGCACGGAGTGCTGGGGAAGTCCACTGCAGCCTAACAGTACCAGACCATCATGCCCAAGTTCAGAGGAGGCCATGACTTATCTAAGGTCACCTGCAGGCAGGAATGGGGCCAGAATAGGTTGAGTCTCTAGACACCACAATGCCATTTAATGTTTCCTTCACATTCAGTCCCTACCCCAGTGACTCAGATATTCACTGTCTAAAAGGCCATCATCCGTATCCTTCAAACCTGTTCCCCACATACTTCTGTTGTGGTGGAATATAAGCACTTGCATTTTTTTTCAAATTGGTTTCCTAGGTAATTCTGACATATCCCAAAATTTGCGGATCACAACCAACACATGCTATAACAAGCTTATTTATTGTTAGTGGATTCTGGACATAGCTACTCAATGAAGCATCAAATCCTAAACAGCCTGAATGGATCAACCATCACTAATCTATCACTGGTGGTTGTCAGGGAATATCAATCTCCCAGTAAATTCTTTTCTTTCCAGCTTCTGGGAAGCTTCTTATTCTCGAGTCTGCTCATTAATATGTGTATTCCTATAAACAGAGATATATCCATAGGGATAGTCCAGCTCTGAATGTAAACAGAATCAATCGATTGATCAGTCAATCAATCAATCATCAGTCTTTCTTTCTTGACTTACCTCCTCCTTGAAAAGATTCTGTCTGTTTTTGAGAGACCGGAGCTTATTCTGTTTGTCTTCATGTTGCATCTCCTCCTCTGGTGGCTGGAAGTAGGCAATCAAGTCGTGGAGGGTCTGCAGGACCTCTTCGATTGGCAAGGTGACAGGGGCAGCTGTGCGATTGTTTCCACTACAACAAACATGAGATGCCACTGCTCAGGCACCAGGCAGCAGCAGGGCAGTGACTAAGGCTACTGGGTCCTTACTCCTTCTAGCTCCATACTGGGGACAGTGAACTACTTGCTGGGGTAGTCATTGCACCAACCACCCCAAGATGAAGTGTACCCAGCAACACAGCGGTGGGAAACAATATTTGTATGCATTTAAAGCAATGTCATAAACAAGGAAACATGATTCTTTTTGGCACATTTATTTTCAAGCAGCTTACTATTTATCCTGTTGCATTGCTATGCGCAGCACTCAGCACCAAACTGGTCTTCACTGAGTCTCTAATGGTGATTTCTGTGTAATCTAAGGAGGGAATGTCGACTGTGGTTATTAGGGTGTCCGTTTCTATCTGTGACAGATGGTTCCCTTCCATTCACCCTTGTCTGTCTGTCATACTTTCTCTTTAAAGAAACACTTGAAAAAAATAGCAAAGGTATTAACCTACCATACTGTTCTTTCAATCTCTGATACCTTCTTAGAATAGATGAAACACAAGACTGGAAGAGGTGGGGGTCTCTCCATCTACACTGTCCTGTATTCTCTCTCTTCCCACGCACTTCCTATCTCCAAGTATTGGCATGTGTGCACACACCTGCTTTCTGTCGTCTAAGTGTTAATGTTGCCTTTGCTCTCTGTGTCCATTTCCCACCTCTTGATCCTTCTGCCCCAGAATCCCTCTCTCTGCACACAGCTTCCTTGCCAGGCTTAACTTATCCCTCTTAGCTTCAGTGTCTATTCCTCTTGACTTCTGCTCCTTAATGTTAAACTTAAAGGGCTGCTGTCAATATCTTTGCTCATTTGTCCTCCTACACAGTTCTTAGCACCTGTACAGAGGGTGAAGAAAAAAACACAGTGGAATTTTAACTCTTTCTTCACAGTTCCCTCTTGCTCTGTTCCTGTGCTATGATCTGGATTTGCCTTCTTAGAAGGCTGCTGCATACTGTTGCTGTCTCGGATGAGATGGAAGACAAGAGTCTGTTTCCAAATTACTTTTTCTCTTTCATTTCCTAGCTGTTGCAAAGTTGTCACTCCTGAGGCATGGATTTGTCAATATTGTTCTTTCTTCTAAAAGATCCTGCGGTGACCAGGAGAAATAAGAACTCCACTGAGCGTGAAGAATCCAGAAGAGCTGGAGAAGGGAACTCAGTAAACCCATTGTATAAAAAAACTTGATAAAATTAAATAAATCCAGGATTCTGAAAACAGGCCGGGTATGTGTTGTGTGTGTGTGTGTGTGTGTGTGTGTGTAATTGGGAAATGATGTTTTGTTTGTTTGTTTGCTGATAAACCAACCTTGGCAAGAACAGTGGGAGTCTACTGTCTTTTAGGTTAGGGATGCTTTTCAATCAGGTTCAGAGCAAAGGCTTCCAATAGGGCAGGGCAGACTAAGGGCAAGCACCGACCAAAGTCCATGCCATCCTTTTACATCTGGGTGAATGTGGGGCCCCAAGAAGATATAAAGTAAATTCCATGATTGAACTGTAAACTGCCTGAATTTCAAATGTATTTTACAGTCAAACATAGAACCATCAAAGTACATTAGACAAGAAATGCTAAAGGGAACCTCAGGAAGTTAATGACTCCAAGCTGCAGGCAGAGCCCACACGAAGAAATAGGGAAAGGTGAGACGGCATAATGAAACAAATATTTAAATCTGACGCTCTGTTTTGGTCTTCTAATTGATTCAACCAGCCATTCTGTAAAACAATCATCATAAAACTGTACTGCTATGCTTCTAACAGATGGAGACGTCACCATGGCAATGTTATCACAAGGAGGAGGGAGAGACAGAGCAACACTGAAATGAAGTTGCTCTACTTAAGTTAGCATGAATCTGAAATAGGTTATTCAAGTTAAATACACATTTATATTACTAAGGAAAAAAATCCACTAAAAATTAAAAAAAAAACTCACCAAACTAAATAGTATTCTAGAAATATGTATTCAACCCTAAAGAAGGTAATAAAAGATAGAATAAAGGAGAGAAACAAAAGCAGTAAATGACAATTATAAATAAACATCTACTTAATTAAACATACCAATGAAAAGAATTTTTAGACTTGATTTGAAAAAAAAATGCGATCTCCAGGAGACAGAGCTGAGGGTCAAAGTCACCCATGAGGTGACAGCATGAGGTTAATGATGTTTAACCAGTACTGTACTTTGCATGCGTGATACTGAGGGACAAAGTCGAGTGGAAAGACATTTATAGAGAAGACATAATAATTTGTTATTTCCAAAGAGTCAGCTTCTCAAGGCAGTGTGCATATTATAAAAATAAGCACAGGACAACAATGATCAGAACATACGAAAAAAATCATACAGCCTCGAGTTTGAAGACAAAATTCTGTAACAGTTTGAAATGTCAATACCTTATTCTCAGTCACTTAAAGTAATAAATCTTACTAACAGAGCATCAAAACGCAGGGCAAAGAAAAAGTATTTGACATAAATCAAAACAAAACAAAAAAAAAACCCACAGTGAATTTCTAGAAACAGATGGCTTGGTAAAGGACATTTGCAAAGACCCTAAAGAAAGCACGGAGCTTAATAGAAAAAAAAAACCTTTGACGTTTTCCTTCTAAGATTAAAAATAAAACAAGAATATCTGCTCACAGTGTCACCATTACACTCTGTACTGGATGTTCCAACCAGTATAAGCAGAGGTGGGGAAAAAAATAAAGGGCATTCCTGTTGCAAAGGAAAAAAAAAAACTTCATTCATAGATGACCTGATCTTTTACTGAGAAAACTCTTAAAACTATATAAAAACAAAGCTGTTAGAATTTTAAAACAATTTCAATGACATTTCTGGATACAAAATTAATGTTTTAATAATGATGTCTCTAAAATAATCTGAACTAAACTTTAAAATGCAAATTCCACCTACAATAGCATTGAAAAGACACAAACAGATAGAAATAAGTTGCACAACTGAACTCTAAGACGGTACATACACTGACTACCTCAATTTCTTCCCAAAAGCAAATGGAAAGCATAGGAATGGAAAGGCCATCCATGTTTGTGCGATTACTAAACATCCCTACAGTGACAAGCCTTCCAAAGCTAGTCTACAGGTAAAATGCAGTTTCTAGAAATGTCCCAGCAGGGTTCTGTAAGATTTACTTTTTACAGAAATTTACAAAATCACACTAAATTTCACACAAGAAAGCAGACTGAATCACAAAATGGAAGGACCCATGCTACATGATTTCGACAAGTTTGAATTAACCCAGACTGTGTTTTAAAATCCTGATGGGCATGTGGTCCAAAGAAACAGCTAAGAGACCAATAATAAACTCTTACATGTGTGACTTTTGACAAAGCTGCCAAGGCAAATTATAAGGAGCAATCCGGTATCTTTTACCCCTCACTGTGTAGCCAAAGCTGGCCTTAAACTCATGGTCTTCCTGGTTCAGCCTCTGGAATGTTGGGATTACAGTGTGCGCCACTGGGACTAGGTTTTTCCTCTCTTTTTTTTTTTCTTCTTTCTTGTGTAGTGCATGTGTATGTTCACGTATGTGTGTGTGTGTGTGTGTGCATTTGTGTGTAGGTGTGTATGAGTCCACTTGAGTAGAAAGGTGTGGGGTCAAGAAGTTGACATTGGGATTTATTTTTTTCCTCAATCACTCTCCACCTCATTTTCTGAGACAGAGTCTTTCTCAGAATTTGAAGTTCACTTTTTAGGCTAGACTGGTCAGTTAGTGAGATGTCTCTGCACCCTATACTACAGTGCTAGGGTTACAGATGTCCACTGCTACTCCCAGATTTCACATGGCCACTGGGGTTGTGAACGTAGGTCCTTACACTTGTACATCAAGCACCTTACCCATTGAACGATCTTCCAGCCACTAAGAAGAAAATGAGAAGGGCTGGAAATATGGCTCAATGGTTAAGAACACTGACTGCTCTTCCAGAGTACCCAGGTTTGATTCTCAGCACCCAGATAGCAGCTCACAACTATCTGTGACTTCAGTCCCAGAAGATTCAATATCCCCTTTTGGCATCCACAGGTTCCAGACATATACCTGGTGCACAGATATATGTGCAGGCAAAACACTTAGACACAGAAAATAGATTAAAATTTAAAAAAAAATAAAAAGAAAATGAGAAGGAAAACCACAGATTAGGATATAAAAGTTGTGAATCATAAATTTGGTAAATGACTTGTAGTAGCAGGTTCACTGAACTTAGAAATCTCAAGTAGAAGACAAACGACTCAAGGTTTAAGAGGCAAACACATTTGATTACACTGCACCAAAGAAGATGTATGAATGTCCACAAAACACATGAACATATGTTTTCATACCAGTATTCATTTGGGAAATGCGAATCCACACCATTGCACATTCCACTTCGTCTACATAATGGCTACAATCAAAACATCAGATAACAACAAATATAGGCAAAAACACAGGGAAAATGGAGCTCCATTCATTTATGAGGGGGCTATAAATGATATATGCCCCCTTGGGAAACAGTTCTTTTCAGTTTCTTAAAAGTTAAACATGTCCCACATGGCTATGTATGCCTGAAATTTCATCACTGTGGAGGCTGAGTTAGGAGGATCAGGAAACCAAGGTCATCCTGGGCAATACATAAAGATGCTGCCTCGAGGTAAATAAACAGGTTCGGGAATATAGCTCAGATGGTAGAGCCCTTGCCTGGCATGTGCAAGGCCCCAAGTTCAAGTTCAATGCCAGCATAGCAACCAAGAGAGAGAGAGACAGAGAGACAGAGAGAGAGACAGAGAGACAGAGAGTGAGAGAGTGAGACACAGAGTGTGTGTGTGTGTGTGTGTGTGTGTGAGTGAGAGAGAGAGAGAGAGAGAGAAAGAGAGAGAGAGAGAGAGAACAACAAAACAGTAGATACACTTAAATTTTAGTTGATGGATGAATGGTTCAACAAAATTTGGTAGATGTATTCAATACAATGCTTATATTTGAAAAGGAATAAAATTCTGAAAAATGATTAAAAAATTAAAATCATTTTGCTATGTGAAAGAAAATACGCACAGAAGGACTAATATGCAATGTCATAAGTACTTAGGAAAGTAAACCACACAGACATGGAAAGGAGAATGGGGATGACTATTGAACTGGCACAAAGATTACAGTGTGCTGTGATGGCGAGCGGGGATGGCTGTATAACAGTAGAAATTCACTCAAAGCCACCGGGACGAACACCTAGAAATGGGACTGGGGCGATGATTCTGAGTAACGAGTTGCTCTGCAAGAAAGAGGACTTGAATTTGGATTTCCAGGACCTGTGCAAAACTAGTCATCATTGTGAGTGCTGGCATACACTGGGTGGGGGAAACAGAGACAAGTCAGTCTAGCCAATCAATCAGTAAGTTCCATGTTCAGTGAGGGAGTCTATCTCCAAAAGTAAGGAATGGGGCAACAGAAGAAGACACTCGACATTGGCTTCAGGACTTCACACGAGAATATACAGAAGTATCTATGACAGACCACACCCCTCCACACACACTTCTCCATGTCTACATTAATATCTCTAGAAGCATTACTTATAAAACTATTAAAAGGAAATACTTCATGGTTCTATTGATGAATATAAAATGTATGTCCATTTCTCTATAGGTAAAGTCTATGTACACACCCATACACTAAATACATACAAACATATGTAAGAATGCAGATACTGTTCATCAATCTAAAAAAAAATGAATGAACTTCAAAAATACAATGCTGAGTGAAAAGGGGAGATTCAAAAAGATAATATATTTTATTTAATCAATTTAATGTTTTAAGTTGAGACGAAACATGGCTGTGAGTGGCAACTGCACCAAACTTCAATGGGCATAAGAGGCTGTAGGGAAAACAAAGAGAGACTGTAGGGAAATGGAAATACTCTAAAATTTAACTGTGGTGATTATTGCATAGCTCTGTACATATATTAAATCTCACTGAATTATTTATTTATGAAAATGAATTTTATGGTATATACACTCTGCCTCAATAAGCTGTTTAAAAATAATTTTCCCATTGTCAGGCTTGTAACCCTCATTAACTAAGTAATAACAGTTATATTGAAATATTAATTCACATCTCACAAGCATACATTTAAAGGATAGAATTCAGTGGCTTAATGATGTTTAGCATCTTCATAGTTATACAAATAGTAAACCATTTCAGAACTCTGTCATTAGCTCTCTTCCCCACCCCCAATCAGTCATCTTCTAGCTCCCATTAACCATTCATCTCCTTCCTGGGTCTACAGATGTGTCCATTCAGTTCCTGTACAGAGACCACACAGTGGGTGGCTTTTCTCACTTAACATGCTTTTGATCACACTCAGGTAAACAAAAGGCAAAAGCAGTGTACTATGTTGTAACATGCACTGGTAGTTCCTTATTCTATTTTATTGATATGGCACATTTTATTTATCTGTTTGTGAACTGGTAAACATTTGGGTTATTTCTGCATTGGAGCTACCATAAATAACAATCCTATGAGTATTTACAGACATTTTTTGTTCACATGTTTTCATTTTTCTTGTGCATATACCTAGGAGTTGAATTGATGGGTCCTGTAGTAACTTTTATATCTACATTACAAAGGCACTTCTAGACTGTCATTCACAGAGGCTGCTACAGTTTACATCACCATCAGTGGTGAAGAAGATTCCAGTTTCATTCTATGTTTCTTAATTAACATGTTTTATCTTAGTGGGTATCTACAGGTATTTTCTTGTGATCTGTGTTGTCATTTTCCTGATAGTTAATGATTCCAGCTGAACATCTTTTAATGTGTCCTTGGTCTTTTGCATATCTTTTAAAGACATTTCTATTTAGATCCTTTGACAATTTTAATCAGTTGTTTAACTTTCTCTATCACTGAAAGTTCCTGCTTTTTTTCCTAGATACAAAGCCCTTATCAGACATATGATTTATGAACATTTTCTTCTTTTATGTGAATTGTCTCTGCTTACTTTACTGTATCCTTTGCCCTGAAATCATTCACAAATTTCAACAAAGTCCAATGTACTTATTTTTCCTCTGTTGCTTTTGCCTTGGTATCATATTTAAGAAACCATGTTCTAATCCAATGTTGTGAAAGTTTAAGCCTATGTCTTTAAAATGTTTTATAGTTTTAATTCTCATATTATGATATTTGATTTATTCAGAGTTAAGTTTTGCATGTGAGGTTATAGCTGTTGATACCAAAAAAAATTTAACAGCAAACATGGGGAGACCTGGAGGACAGATGAGAAAACCATCTTCCGCATGGGTGATGGATTGGATGCTAGTCAGGACCACATGAATAATGTGCTTGCATGCAATTTTCTCTCTGATTAAATTCTAACCAATGGAATGAATGCAAAATGAATTTATATAAAGAGATCTAGATCTTATCATTTATAAAAATGAAATACCATTTACTCCCCCCTCTTCCCTTTTGCAGGGCATATCTTAGGTACATTGACATTAATAAGCTACTTTTGATCATGTAGATAAAGAAATTTGCTGAAATGATTCTCATCTGTGACTGAATCTTAGAATCATAGAGAGTCTTCAATGAAGTACTGACATTTGGCTTTTGTTGTTAGTATTGAGACAGCAGCTCATTATACAGCCTAGAGTAGCCTGGAATTCAAAATCCTCCCACCATGGCCATTAGTACAAGGATTACAGAATGGGCCCTGTTAACTTTGGATCTCACCTCCAGACTTTCAAGGAAGTTGGATTGAGACGCAGCCTAGAAATCAGTGTTAAATGCTGCCTCAATGAATCTAACACTTAGCCAAGGTTAAGAGGTCTAGTCCAGGAAATCTCTTGAGCTTTGAACACACAGGCAAGCATCACCTAGGCCAGTGGTTCTCAACCTTCCTAATGCTGTGACCCTTTAATACAGTTCCTCATGTTGTGGCAACCTCCAACCATAAAATTATTTCATTATTACTTCATAACTCTAATTTTGGTACTATTATGAACTGTAACGTACATTTGTGATATGTTGTTGGACATCTGGTATGTGATGCCCAAAGGGGTTGTGATCCAGAGGTTGAGAATCAATGTTAAGCAAATGTAACTTGATAGCTCTAAGTCCATGGATGCCCTGTTCAGTTGATCTGAGGTCAGAGTTAACAATGTACATGTATAACAGGTTTCCTGGTATCAAAAGGATTTGGAAGTGAAAGGAAATGGGGCAAAGTACCTGACGAACTGGCTGAATAAGGCTGTTGTGTTCCTGATGATGCGAGCAGCCTGGGACTCCTCCCGCTGGCACCTCTGCAGTGTTAATCCATCATCCATGTGGCCTTCCTGATGGAGTATGACCTACCCACCGAGCACGGGAACAAGTCCAGGTTACACATCACTCCACAGCTGGGCCACCCACATTTTCGGTGGTGTTTCCTTATTATTCCTTTCCCTCGCCAAGCTCCCCTGAGTCCATTTTGAAAACGGGACATTAACAAAGTTATTTTCCCCACATGCCCTATTACTGACATGTGAATTATTCCCACAACCTGGTGATTTGATGAGAATGAAATTTTATGTGCCACCATGGTATGAGCTACAATAAATTTCTCGTGCCTGGATGGCCAGTTTGAAGGGAGAAAACATACTTTTGTAAGGGATAGTTTTTTTTTTTTTCTCTCTTTAAAATGAACACAGAGGCTGACCCCTGGAGAAGGGGAAGCCACTTGGTTTAGAACATTCTCCTTCATATGTAAATTGGGCAGGAACAATTCAAAGCAGAGCTCCCTCCTGGGATCAGGGTTGGATTTCTCTACTGAAGGTCAGCTATAGCGAGCTGGTGAACCAGCAGATGGCCAGGGAAAGTTGAGTCAGTGGGTGTGTCTTTCTTATGGAGCTGATTCAAAGCTTGGGCTCACACATCAAGTGCCATCCCCCTCCCCCCCAGTCCTGTTCCACTACTTGCCAGCTGAGTGACTTCATTGTAATTTGCTCAACAGCTTTGCTTCCAGATCACCATTTGCAAATGTGAGTTTATCTTGTAGGGCTGTTTGGGGGATTAGGTGATATACATATAAATCAAAATGACTCTTGGAAAGTAAAAGGTGCTCAAAGGAGGTTTACTATATGGGCAATAATTACTGATCTTTGTCCAGCTATCGAGAAGCTAGGAGACTACTGATCACCAAGGACATCATGGCACTTGGGCAAAGCTAGCAGCTTTAGGAATTCGCTAGCTTGTCCTTTTACCATGGTTCAAGTAACTGCAGGTGCTAAGTGAGAGGATTTGACCCTGGCTTTAGGTAAGGTCAAATCCTGCCCTAAATTCCTGAGCATGGAAACACCTTGAGGATGTGAGGGACCACGTAGGGTCCTAGAGTTCAGTCTGTTTTAATTTACAATCAAAGCTTATTTTCCTTTTCTTGTGAAAAATCTTATATTTTTCTTCTTTTGGTCAAAACCTAACTCATTATGTCAGGTTATAATCGTATAAGAAGTAGTATACAGGCTTGGAGAAGTTTGTGTTCTCCTTAAAAAGAAACTTTTCATCACGTGTGTAGCGAAGATTAAACACTACACAGAACGCCTAGCCATTGACTTCCCCAGCTGTTAGACAGTATTACTTTTCCAGACTTTCTGGTGTGTGGCTAGCAATGTGCAATACACTCCTATTAGGTGTAATTTGTGTTGCTCCTGGTTTTCTAGCCCCCAAAGACCAATGTTCTTAGGGTTCTGCTTGTTCAGATAACATGCAAACTGGACAGCCAAACCAGAAAGTAATGAGGACTGAGAACACTAGTTATAATGTGGCTATTTAAATGCCTAATTGACCTCTAGGGCCAGGTCTTTAGGTCATAATTCTCAGGGAGGTACTCACAATGCATAGGAACTACTCCTTTTAACATGAGTTACTGTTTGTCAATTTCTGATCATCAATTACTGATTGTCCTTCCTGGGTTTTATTCCTTTCACACAGATCTGGACATTTTTAGAGGGACCACTTGACCTTATGAAACACGGCATTGTTTGCCTGTCAATGGCTGAATGTTATAATTCTATATAGAAGAGGTCTCTTCCAAATTTGTATACATGTTTTAGCGGTCTACAGGCAGGAAAGGACACACTAAATCAACATCTTTTCATGTGGACTAAGTTCCTTTCCATCTAGAGGTTCAGCCTCAAACTCACAAATTCCACTCCAGCATTAGCATGGCTTGTAGTAAGTGCAGAACACCAAACAGATTGTTCAGATATTCTACAAAGAATGGGGTTGGGCAGATGTTCTCAGTTTTCTCTAATTCTCAGAGTGTAGCTCTCTGTCTTAGAGTGGCCTCATTGGAACTCGTTGAAAGTCGACTGTACTTCCCAGGGCCATGCCAATGTGTGAGATAGTTACTGCCAACTTCTGTCTCCTTAGGACCACAATCCTGTCTGTCGCTGCTTTGTGCTTGTCCATCACAGCTGTGAACTCCTGTTTCTTGTCTTGCTTACACAGCCCACAGAGGAAACTGCATGTAGAATTTCAGACTATGTCTACAGCTGCCTCTACTTGGGAATTTTGGTCCTATGAATCCCAGAAATACTGCCGGACCTGTGTCTATATTCTATTTCTCCACCACAGTAGAGCCAACCTAAGACCTCTCTCCCTAGTCTATGGATCTGGAATTGTGGGGAGGAAATAACACAAAGATCAAAGTGGCTGTTCTTTCATGTCCACATACTCTGCACTAACAAGCAGGGCTCGCATTCAAGGGATCTTGGTTGGTGAAACCTTCCTATTACCATATAGTATGATTCTAATATCCTATAATAAATACCATTTGGAGACATTATCATTATTGCTTTAGGCCAATATGGTAGGACTATAGTCTATAGGGCTTCCTGTAACCTTATTCTGGGTTTTCTTCACTATCTAAATGTGCATTTTGAAAGGATTTTCCAAGAAAAACAAACCTTTGACACCAGTTCTCTGGTTCCTATAAAAAAGAATTACTATTATGGCAACTCTCTGCACATCGGTGTCTGTAGCCTCATTGTTATGCAAACTGTATTTTCTCCACAGACATTCTAGACATTCTCTGTCTTATGAAGATAGTATAATAACTCTATTATCCACTTAAATGAAGGAAGCAATGATGCAGATAATCTCAAAATAGTGGAACCACTAAGAGTCATTAAGACTGGGTTTCAGAGTGAATCCAACAAGCTCCAGCTCTTCTACACAGAGTTGTCGTGTATAGTACACTCGAAAAAAAGAGAATGGGGTTACAGTGACCAAATTAGCTTAATTTATTGGAGAAACTAGGCATAATCTGTCACAGAACTACTCTTTAGAGCAGTAATGGGCAAAACATAATCATGCCCACCTGGTCCTCAGAATCACGTCTACTGTCTAACTGTACCCCCTCAATGTGAAACAACCCGGGACAAGACTCAGACACTTCACCTTTCTCTTCAGAGGTCCCAGGCGGGAAGTTTTGGCATCTTGTGCTTTGTAGGTGACCCAAAGGCCACTGGCTACATGCTGGACAAAGCAGACAGAATCACCATACTTGATTTCTGGAACGCCCATGCCTTCCATATCTCTCTTGTGACTGGAATCCGATTTCTCCTTGATTTCCTATTCCACACACAAAAAGAGAAAGAAAGAAACAAACAAACGTAGGCATGCCTGATTACATAGCAACTCATATGGAAAACAAAAATTTGTGCAGAATCTGTAAGACAAAAAGCTTTCATCAGAATAATCACGATGACTCCAAGTCAGGAGTTTAGAAAGACTGGCTTCCTTTATCTGATGTTAATTGTAAAACCAATGCACTGAAGCTTTTGGCCACTTTAAAGGTATTTAAAACCATGGAAAAGGAAGCAGTTGGCAGGTTTCTTATTCTCTGATTTTATATGCATCTTTATTATATTTTCACCTCCCTCATCCTAACATAGATATGTTAATGACTTTTAAGCGGTCAGTTAACTCATTTTCAGTGATTGATATCTTCCATAATTAAAATGCTTATCTTCCACAAATACTATAATTCAGGAGCTTAAAAACACCATCTGTGAATATCATAGTCATAACAGCCAGGACATAGAAACAGTCTACGTGTCTATAAACTGATGAACAGATAATGAAAATGTGATATATTTACACAGCAGGGTACTATTTAGCTGTTAAAAAAATAAAATTATGAAATTAGTAGGTAAATGGATGGAGCTAGAAGCAATTATTACGAGTGAGGAAACCCAGTCCCAGAAAGGCAAATGTCACATGATTTTTCTCATTTGTGGATGCTAGTTTTGAATCTTCAGATATGTTTATTTCATTTTGAATATCTATAGAGGTCAAAATATTAGTGAGGAAAATAATAGAGAAGAGGTTAAACTGGAGTGGGGGACACAAGGGCATAGAGAATATGGGGAGGGATAAAGATGACTAAAGTCATATGGAACCTACTACTATGGAAGCATGTTCACACACATACAGAGAGAGAGGAGAGCGAGAGCGAGAGAGAGAAGACAGAGAGTGAGAAAATACAGAGAGAGAAGAGAGAGAGATAGAGAGGAAATACATGTTAAAGTGGAATTACTCTGTAATTGAGGTGACGATGTCCCTACTAGATACCAGAGGCTAAAAAATAAAAAGCCCAGGAATTAGTTACCTCTTTTAGAGTTGTTGGTCAGTGAGTTTCCACAGACCTCCCCCTCAATAACTGGGAAGTATGGGGGGTGTTGGATACTATTAGAACACATTGTATGAAATTTTAAAAGAACGAATAAAAAGGTAAAAATAAGTAAAGAGGAAGTTTTTTTTTTTAACATGTCAGAGGCACTACTGTGTTTTAAGGTAAATTTGTTATTTGTATATTAGTCTCTCTCTTAGGGCTATGCTGAAATTGGGATCCCAGTGGCCTTATGTTAGAGGCCATTGTCAGCCTGGGACACTATTGGGAGGTGGTATAATGTTAAGACAAGAGCCTGGTGGGATGGACTTAGGGCTCTGTTGAAGACAGAAGCATCCTAGATTCTCGTTTTGCTTCTGGTTGGTGTGGGGTAAATGCTTTCTTTATCATTCATATTGTGCCGTGATAATACTCTGGTCTCACCACAGAGCTCAAAGTAGTGGAGCCAGCAGCCTATGGGCTGGGAATTCTTAAATTATGAGCCAGACTCACCCATCCTCCTTTCAGCCTTCTCTAGTGTGTTTTAAAGTGAAGGGAAGCTGACAAGTGGCCACCTTCGTTATGGTCACAGCCAGTTTCATTCCTCAGTGTCCACTAATTCCTTCCACCCCGCCCCCATCCTCTAGTATAGAAACAGGACTTCTGTGCTAAGTAACCCCCCACGACAGCCTGATGTGCCTGCCGCATGTAATAGATCCCGATGCATAGCAGCTTTGTTTCTTTCCTCATCTCTGGCTGTGTTCTAACATTCTATGTCCATCTCTCTTCTCTATCTTGTATTAAACTGCTCAGCTGTAAAAGTCATTATCTGCGCAGCACTTTGAATATTTTGCAGAATGACAAGTGCGGCATGCTATTCCCTTTGATGGCAACAACACCCCTCCTCTTCTTAATGCTGGGCATCGCGTGGACTGAGCCCTTACCATGCTCAGCACCAACTTTAAGTTCTTTACAGGTTTAGGTACTAACTCTTCATAGCAAAGCCTCGGAGGGGGCTACAGATATTGTCCTAGTTCTACAGATGAGAAAAATGAACAAAATAATTTGCTTAAAGTTACTCAAGGAGTAAATGCCAAATGCAGTCAAGAAGTCAGGCAGGATCTGGGAGAAGTTGGGGGAGGCGAACCATTAATTAGACTATATTATATGAAAAGATAGTTTACAATAGAAATATAAAAAATAAAAAGAAATCTACCTCTATTTAAATAAAGATAAAAACTAACAACAAGGGGATGAAGTTAGGAGAGAGATGTGACTGGGGTTGGGTCATGAATGGAGTGGGAGATGGGGAGAGGGGAGGAGGTGATCAGTATATATTGTATATGTTTGAAAATGTCAAAGGAAAAATTAAAAAGTAAAAACAAAATCATGTCTAGCGTCTGTGTTTTCTCCATTACTCTAAATGGGACTCAGCTTTCAGTTCCCCCTTTAGATGTCACTCAGTTGGTGAAGATAGTTAGTGTCCATAGCTGCATCTCCCCAGCGTTGCCTTGATCATCTGTTAAACACTTAGCATCCTGTAACAGATCTATGAAAGGAATCAGGGCAGTGAATTGTGGATCCTTAACAGAGGACTCAGCACCTATATTACTTATGGAACTCATTGTGAGGTGGCATGCATTACTGAGTGATTTTTTTTCCTTTCTTGTATATTTATTTTCTACTTCAGCTCTTATTTCTTTTCCTTCAGACTTTCATAAAAGCAGCTGCTTTATGCACACATAAAATATCAATTTGAGTAGTATTAATATTTCATAAGAAGCTTTTTGTTTTAAATATGTACTGAGACACTAGCTAGAATATTAAAAATACCTTATTTCTCAAAACGAACATATTAAAAAGAAATGGATTTCTGATTTTGTAACACACATGGGTAGGAAAAACGGATTTGATCTATCAGGACTTTCCCTATAGGTCAAGAATGCATTTACTCTATGAAACAATGGACAGCTGATTTCCATCACAGAAATATCCACAGGCCTATAGATGTTCTAGCCAGTAACAGGGCTTACAAGATGTCAGAACTTTTATCTGCTGCCTACTCTCTAGCTATAGTCAACACACTAAAATAGAAACAACACAAAAGACAGCTGTTATGTGGTAATTATACTGATTTCTAATTGCTTCTGGTAAAAATAATGCATATTCTCAACTAGCAATTTATTTTGTCATTTTTTTGTTTATTTAAATATGGATTTTCCAAAATAAAATAAATAGGAGGCTCCTTTCCCTTCAGTCTCTGAAACAAATGAGCCACCATCTCTACAGTGTGTCTGTGCCTTCACCCTTTACATAAGAGCATCATCTTCCAAAGGTCTGCAGTGGTCACTGCGGTGGCTGCCTCTCATTTAGAAGAATAACAACAATAAGACTCAGATATCAGTGTCAACAAACACAAACCCCAGCTCAACCCAGCAATTCACAACATTGAGAAATCACCAAGGAAACAGAAGAAGCTGGTGTTAGGGTAACTTGACTGTGCTCACGTGACTGTACTGGTGTCAGGGAAGCTTTACTGTGCTCACGTGACTACTGGTGTTAGGGAGGCTTGACTGTGCTCACATGACCATGGCCTCAGATACAGTCGTCCCGTTGCCAGAAATGGGGTTTTACTGAAGAACTGGCTTAAACTAATTGCTTCTTTTCAGTTCTTAGAACTCGGGAGTTCTTATGTTTTAATCATGTGCTTTAATCGAACTGGGTTTAAGAGGGACAACCTTTACATTTCAGTGTTGGGGATGGAATGCACATCTTCCCACATCCTTGGTAAGTACTTCACAGAGTTCTATTCACAGCTCTCAGGAACATCTTGATGCAATAAATTCTTCTTTTCTTTGGGATTTTATTGGCATTATTACTTGAATTTCCTGATCACTTCTGCAGTTCTACAATGGTAATATTTGTATGCTAACCTTTTCTTCATATTTTGATACATTGACATCTTTGAATCTTATCTGAGTAGGGAGAGACCTGGAGTTCTTAAAGGACTCCAAGGCGTACTCGCTACATGTACACTGAACAATCCAAACTCAGACCTCTTTTATAACGACTTTATACCTCAGGAGGCAACATCCCTCTTCTTTGTCATCACTGGGTCAGTCACCACATAGCTAGAACACCTCTATAGCTGAAATTACTCCAACTAGTGAACTCTAAACTGTCTGTCTCTGCCCATGGAAACTCCAGTAAATCTGACAGCATAAATTATCCTCCAAGTTTCTCTCTATCCCCCAACTCCTCACACCCCTCCTGAAATGTGGTGGTATTCTGCTGAAGGGGCTTGCATGCCATGCCCTGCCTCCTTGTGAGAAAAACCAACTCTTTCCCAGAGTGCTTCTCATGCCTTCTTTCTAATGCCATGCGACTAACTATTATAGAAAGAACACAGAGCAAACATCAAGCCTTTCCCACATCCAGGGCCAGAAGACACCTCTGACTTCTCTAGTCTCATGGCCCCATACTCCCTATAGGACCTGTCTTACTCAGGACCAGCTGACTCCTAAAATAAGCAGAAGACTGGCCTAGAAGGACTCTTTCACATGGAAACCAATAATTCTGAGGCCAGAAGCCGATCTCCTCCTTCACAGAGTTAGCATACTTTAGGGCACCATTCTCCTGTTCAAACCACCAGGGCCAAGTTCCAAACCTGTTACAAGTCTTGTGTTCCAGAACCTGATGAATCTATTCAAATTCGCCAACTTGATACTTACTTATCCTTCCTACCCCATCCCTTTCTGCGGGGACCACAAAATGACTCTCTTATCTTCCCTAAGATGGACTGGTTTAAAATCAACTTGATACAAATTACAGTCATCTGGGAAGTGGGAACCTCATTTGAGAAAATGCCTCCACCAGATTGGCCTGTGGTGCATTTTCTTGGTCGATGGTTGATATGGGAGGACCCACTGTGGTCCCATGCCAGGGTTGTTGGTCCTGGCTA